TCTGAGTACTATTCCATTATGTGTGTGTATGATGTATGTAAATCACATTTTGTTAATCCATTCATCTGTTCTTTAGAACTTGGGTTGTTCCCTATTTTGGCTATTGTAAATAGCACTGCAATGAAAATAGGGGCCCTGTCTCGTTTTGAATAAGTGTTTTCTTATTCATCAGGTCAATATCCAGAGGTGGAAATACTGGATCATATTGCAATTCTTTTTTATTTTCTTGAGAACCACCGTATTGTTTTTCCAAATGGCTGTACCAATTACATCCAGCCATTAGTGCAAAGGGTCCTTTAACCCTTGTTCCTCACAGAATTTATTTCTTGACTTTTGATAATAGACATTTTTACTGGTGTGAGCAGAAATCTAATTGATTTTTTCAAATGTTGACCCATCCTTGTGTTGCTGAGATAAACCTCACTCTGTCATGGTGTGTGATCCTTTTTCATGTGTGATTGAATTTGGTTTGCTAAGGTCTTGTTGAGGATGTTTGCATCTATGTTCATCGGGGATTGGTCTGTAGCTTTCTTTTTGTGTGATGTCCTTCTCTGCTTTTGGTATCAAGGGAATGTTGGGCTCATGAGATATGATGGCAGCATTCCCTCTTCCTCTGTGTTTTTGAAGAGTTGAGAAGTCAGGTGTGAGTTCATCTTTAAAGAGTTTGTAGAAGTCACTGAAAATGTCTGGTCCTGGACTTTGTTTTTCAGGAAACTTTGATTCATGTTTTAGTGTCTTTGCTTGTAGTTGCTTTGTTCTGAATCTTCCTGACTCAGTCTCAGAAGGTTTGTATACTTCTAAGAATTTGTCACTTTCTTCCAGGTTATTTGAGGTCATTCAATTTATTGACATATAGGTATTTGGTATTATGACATATAGATATTTGGTATTATGATCTTTTGTATCCTAATGTGTCTGTTGTAACTTCTCCCCTTTTGTTTCTTATTCTATTAGTTTTTTTTTCCCTTTTTCCTCCTTGAAAGTGTAGTAAAATATTTGTCTGTTTTGTTTATTTTTTTCAAAGAACCATATTTTGGTTTCATTGATTTTTTTGTCTCTCTTTGATTTCTTTGTCATTTATTTCTGCTTTAATATTTTTTTTCCTTCTACTGTCTCTTGGTTTCATTTGTTCTTTCTAGCTGTTTAGATTCTTTACCTGAGCTCTGTCTTGACTCTAGGTGTGGCCTGTATTGCTCTGTATTGCCCTCTTAGTGCTGCTTGTGCTGTGTCATTTGTCTCAAGGTATTTTTAAATTTCTTGGTTGTTTTCCTTCTTAACCCAAGAGTGATTTGGTAGAGTGTCGTTCAATCTTCACATGTTATTTTTCCCCCTGGTTTCTTTTTATGGTTGATTTGAGTTTGATACCATTGTGATCAGAGAGATACTTGTATGATTTCAGTCATCATGAATTTATGACACTTGTTAGATGACCCAACAAGTGATGTATTCTGGAGGCTAGTCCAGGTGCACCTGACAAGAATATTATTTAGCTTTTTGGAGTATAGCACCCTATAAATATCTATTCAGCCCAGATGGTCTAATTTCTCACTTAAAGTTACAGTTTCCCGGAGTTCTGTAGGGTGATGTGTCCTTGATGAAAGTGGAGTGTTGAATTTCTTTACCACTGTTGTGTTGCTGCCAATATCTGTTTTCAGATGTGTTAATAGTTGCCTTATGCATTTTGCTGCTCCTTTGTTTGGTGCATGTGTATTGATGAGTGTTATGTCTTCCTGATGTAGGATTCCTTAATCGTATGATGTTCATCTCTGTCTCTTGTTACCTTTTTTTCTGGAAGCTTATTTTATCTTATATGGCAGCCCCTGCAATTTTGGGGGTGCCCCATTTTCTTGTGTTTTTCCCAAGAACTGTTTTGATCCAGTCTCCTGGAGACAGCATAAAGTTGGGTTTTATTTTTTGGTACAACCAGTCACTCTGTGTCTTTCTCTTTGGTGAGTTCAATTCATTTACATAAAGGGTGATGACATGATGACTTACTACTGCCCTTTTGTCTTTAGTCAAATCCAGCCCAGAAATGTGTGGTATCTGGAGAGGGTGGTGAGGGCTCCAGGGTCCCTGCCTCATAGGTCCCCTGGTCAGTTTGCAGGATGGTGTCAGGCGAGAGGCCCAGACATTAGGCAGGCAGCTGGGGTTCAGACCTGGACACTGCCATAACCCCTTAGGCTCCAAGTCCGGTTTCTGAAGGGGAATGTGGGGGAGGGGTGTCAGGGTAGTATCAATTCCCAATTCACAGAGTGCTGGAGAAGAATCCCCGAGGTGACACAGAGAAAGTAACTGCTGAGGTATGTAGCCGGCCTTCGGTCAGCACCCTGAGCCGCTTCTTTTTTTTTTTTTTTTTTTTAATAGAGGCATGCTTTATTTATTTGTTTGCTGGTTTGTTTGTTTTGTTTTTGTTTATACATGCACTGGGTACAGTCAGAAGCGCGGGAGGGTGAGAGAATTCACCAGAGCCAGAGCGGGGAGCAGAGCAGGCAGAAGGACCGAAGTACACTGCTGAGGGGAGCAGCGGGCAGCAGGAGAGATCTGCGTGCCATGTGGGACACTCCTCGGGTGGCCGGGGAACAGCTGGGGATCGAACCGGCATCGCAGAGGCCGCGGGCAGCTTCGCAACCCAGCGCTCAACCTCTGCGCCACCGGGGAGGCCCCCTGAGCCACTTCTGTTCCTGTGCCCACCTCTGGCTTTTGAGACCCAACTCCCATGTCCCCTTCCTGCTGAGGAAGGAACCTCCCTGGCTCTGTGTTGGCCCCCTCTGAGGCAACTACTGCAGCCCTTCTCTCCTCACACACCCCAGGCTGCAGGACCTCCAGGGCGGGGTCACCAGTTCTCTGTGACCCCAGCACCCTGTGGAGTATGTTCCTGGGCAACAGCATGCATTGGGCTTGGGGACCCCAAATGCCTGACTGCAAGTCTGTGCCATAAGAGTCACCAGGGGTGTATTTAGAGAGAAGTTCCCAGGCCTGTCCCCAGAGGCAGAGAGTGGGCTCTGGCTGCCCAGGGCTGGGGAGGGGAAGATCCTTCCACACTGATCACGGCCCTTCAGATCCACCAACATCTCATCCCCATCGCAGCCTCCTGAGACCCAGAGCAGGAGCCCCTGAGCAAGGCCCCTCCTGCTGCCTCCCCCTCAGAGACTTTGCGAATTGCCAGATCTTTGTTTAATGTGCAAAGGATGAAGTGATTGGTACAAACTATTAAAAAAATTAAGGCAATAAAGTGATCAGTGTCTGTTTTCTTACAAGAAATAGTGGAGACTGAATAAGTCACGTGACAGTCAAGGTCCTGATAGCAATGAGCTGTCAGACAAGGATTCCACGTCCCCTGAGGTGTCCTTCAAAATAAACCTGATTAAAAAAAATTATTCCTAGTGTTTTAAGATTCCATTTAATGTTGCTGTTCATTTTTTTTCACATTATCCTCAGAGCGGTGTCTGCAGGATCACGGCACAGAGGGACTGTCAGCAGCCTGGGGCTGTGAGCAGGGTTGACTCTGACCCACCTGCAGGGATTGGAGCCCTGGAGCCCCAGAATCCGTCCCAAGGGCTGGTCCTCCAGGGAGGCACAGGCCTTGCTCTGCCCTCCTCTTGGCTCCCTGAATCTCCCAGACGCCCCAGCATTGGGGAACTGAACGGGGATGTTCCAGATGAGGAAGGGGACTCCCCTTAACTATTTATCTCCCCCATCTCCCTGCCATCCGCAGCATCAAGACAAAACATGGAAGACCTTTAATGGAAATGATTTTTAATACAGTTAGTGTGCAACAAAGACAAATGAAAGAATAAAGTTTCCAAATCAAGCACCAAAGTCACCATCCCCTTGTGGGTAAATGTTCAGCCAAACAGGGTTGGCCCAAGTAGGGCCTGAAAGCCTGTCACAGTCTAAAGCACCTCCTGGCGGGACCCATAGAAAAGGGGGGACAGGGCTGACAAGTCTGGAAGGAAAAGAGCAAAATCAAGATAGAAGCTGCCATTGTCACCTCCCCATGGATTTCTCACCCATGTCTATGTCACCCAGTCCAAGGCCAAGAAGCAAGTGCAGCTTTTTCACGTGTCTCTGTCCCATGTGCCTCCCCCAGGTCTCCTTCTGGTTCCATCCTGCTTCCTCCCTCCTCAGCCTCCTCTCAAGCTTCCTCTCCCTGCTCAGCTCCACCCTTCTTGGGTGGGGCACGAACCCAGATCCTCCCTTGGGGCCCCCCTGTTACAGTCCTCTCCGTCACCAGCATGTGCATATGTGTGGGTGACACCAGCCCTGCAAGGACGGGCAAGGCCCCAGATGTGTGCAGTTCCCTGGGCAGTTACAGGCCAGCACTGCTGCATCCCCCAGGGGAGACAGACGCTCCAGCTCCCCAGTGAGATCCTATGTCACCCACGCAGACCTTCCCCCTCAGTGACCCCCGTGTTGCCCCTTCCCTGCCCGGTCCTCTCTGGCTCCCCCTTCACCCTTTTCCACCTCTGTCCCCTAAAGTCCCCATTTCCATCCTCTGCTCTCTTTTCCAGGAGCTTCCCCATCTTCCTAGCCAGTGCCCTGGGGGCTCTCCTAGGCCTTCCCCTCCTCCAAGGATGGAGAATGTCAGGTGATTCCCAGGAGGAGGGGCTTTCGTCCTTGGAAGCAGAGGCAGAAACAAATGACAGGGACCCTGGAATCTAAGTTTTCATACCAAGAGACTGAGGCAACCTATATATTTGGGGATTTGCCCAGAACGTAGGAACCAATTATGTCCTGGAGACCACTGCAGACTAAAAATAAGGACACTGAAACTGATGCAGACTTGGGGGCCCAGGGAGCCTGGGGAGGGCCTGGCTGAGCAGGAGAAGGGGCGGCTCTGGTCTCCTGTGCTCAGCCCTGTGGCCACACTGGGGCGCTGCCGCGCTGCTCCGGATTCTGCTGGAGCCGCCAGGATGGGGCGGGGGCTGAGGTGGGCAGAGTTGGGGGTCCTGGAGGGTGGCGTCCTGGGGTGAGATGCTCTGTGAGGAGTCAGAGCAGCAGGGCTCAGAGGAGAGGAGACTCCGGAGCATGCCCTGGGTGTGAGGTTTCCGTCTTTTCTCCCCAGAACCCCTCTCTCCAGTCCCTGGATGGTGATACCTGGGAGAACTGGAAAAGAGAAAATTTTTTTGTTCTACAATCTATTCAATATTGAGGGCATTTAAAAAAAATTAATATTTAGGGCCTCCCTGGCGGCTGAAGGAGCTAAGACACAGCAGTATGAAGCTCTCCGCAGCCACTACGGCATGAGTTTGATCCCCAGCCAGGGAGCTGCCCATATGGCACGTCAGACCCCCCTGTCTTGCCCGCTCCTCCCCTCAGCAGTGCATTTCAGTACATCTGCCTGTTCAGCTCCCCACCCTATCTCTGGTGAATCCTCTCACCTCCACATTTCTGGCCTGCACCCCAGTTCTTGTATGCATAAATAAATCGTTATAAAAAAATAAATTGATCTTAAAAAATAACATTTAAAGAATACTGTTAGATTTATAGAAAAGTTGCAAAGGCAGTACAGGTCTTGTTTATCCCACACCATTTCCATTTTGTTAACATCCTACACGAATACCTTGATTTTTTTACAACTAATGCAGCTATGTTGACATAATTACTAAATGCCATCTTTGCTACTGTCCATTTTATGCTCCATAATCCCATCCAGTTTGCCTGGATGACAGTTTCTCAGATTTTCCTTGTTTTTATAACACTGACACTGGTGAGGAGTGATGCTTGGGAGAGGTGTTGGGGTCACAGATGAGGTTTCTTGGGTCACCTCTAAGAAAAGCGTCACCAGAGTCCTCCTCTCAGTGGCGTGTGGGCAAACACACACACATGCACACACACAAACACACGGAAAGAAGACGATGCTTGTGCAGACACCAGCAGGCATGAGGAGCTGCCCCTGGAGAGGGCGGGTGTGTGAGGAGAAGCCTGCAGTCACCAGGCGGAGCCTTGGGAGCAGAGCTGTGTCTTCCTGGAGCAGAAAGGGCCCTGAGGTAGTGTTCTAGTTGGGAGGGCTCATTCCTTTGTGGAAATGTTGTATGTCATTAAATTAATTACTTCTGTGGTGTGACTAGGCTGATTTGTCAGGAGCAGCGAGTCTCTGCAATGGCTCCATCCCCACATCCCAGCTCTGGTCTGTGCCTCCTTATACTTCCTGTAGCATCTGATACTTGCTATGGCAGTTGGCCCGAAGCGATTTTCATTTCTATAGTTGGTTTAATAACTGTGCTAATAATCACTTCTACCCCCACCTCTAGTTTCTGGTCATGTGACCCCTCCACCCTAAATTTTCTACTCTTAGCCTCCATCAAGGAGCACTGCTCAGGACTATTGTCCCTCAACTTAGGTTTTTTTTTTTTTTTCATTGGGACTCTGGGTTTAGGGAAGCAGACCCCAGGGGTGCAGGGCCATTGTCCACTCAACACATCAGTGCTCATCATGTCCACCTGACTCATCACTGATGGTGTTAACCTTCAATGCCAGAATAAGGCAGTGTTACCCAGGTACCACCTTACACTTGTGAGAATGACCCACTGAAGGGTGTGGAGGAAAAGGAACTCTGGTACATGGTGGGTCAGAATGGAGACTGGTCCTGTTAGCCAGCAGAATGAGGGGTTCCCTGGCCCCTCAAACCTGCGCACTTGACATGAGTTGTGTCATCAGCTGCACAAAGACAAAACATACTCTAATGCATAACACCTTCATTAGAAAAGAAAATACAAATTAGCGGGCAATAGAGAATGAGTGTGCAATAGCAAAAGAGAGGAGAAAGAATATAGTTAGAAGAGTTCCCAAGTGAAGCACCCAAAGTTACCTGTCCCCTCATGGGTAAGGCCCAGCCAAACAGGCTTGCCCAAAGCAGGCCCGCTGAGGCCCGAAGTCCTGCCACAAGGCTAAGGCACCCACCGGTAGAGACCCATGGGAAAGGCGCAGCAGGGGCCAGGCAAGTCTGGAAGGAAAAGAGCAAAGTCAAAATCCACAACAAGATAACAGTGGCCATTGTCAGCCTCCCCTTGAGTCTCTCCTGCATGTCTTTGTCTCTTTCACGTGTCTCTTTCCATGTCCCCAACTCCCTGGCACAAGTCCAAGCCTGAGGAACAAGAGTGGCTTCTTCTTTGAATGTCTCTCTGCTCCATGCGCCTCCTCCAGTCTCCTCTCCCCATGTTGCTCCACGTCTTCCTCCTCTGCCTTAGCTTCTCCTCCCTGCTCAGCCCCACCTTTCCTCGGGCGGGGCAGGACACCTGGAACCTCCCTTTTCTATGGAGAGCACATGGGTACAGCCCTGCCCCTGTGGAAAACAAACGAAGGTTCCTCAAAATATTCAAAATAGACCTGTCACCTGGTCAGGGACTCCATTCCTTGGGATTTATCCAAAGAAGGTGAAACACTAATTCCGAGGAATATGCGCCTCCTATGGTCACTGCAGCGCTGTCTACCATAACCAAGCTATGGGCACAACCTAAGTGCCCAACGGCAGAGGAGGGGATAAAGAACACGAGATTTATACCCAGTGGAATACTACCCAGCTGTGAAAAAGAAGAAATATTGAATTTGCAACATGGACAGATGTGGATGGGATGATGCTACGTGAAAAAGTTTGAAAGAGAAAGTTAAATACTGGATGATTTCATTCATATGTGGAATATGAGGAGACAAAGCAGGCACAGAAGAGACTAAACCAAAACAAACTCTAGAAATATGAGTGCAAAACTGAAGCTATGGGGTGGGGGTAAGAGCAGGAAACAAGGTAGGAAGAGGGTCCCATGGACTGTGGTGGAGGACTATGGATGCCCTTAGGTGGGTGGGAAGTGATAATGAACATCTGAAGAGGGTGACCCTGGGCCTCTGCACACATGCAGTGTGTAAACCAATGTTACCTCAACTCAATAATACAATGAGGGGGAAAAAAGAAAAGTTCTTAAGCAAAAGAAAAAAAGTAACTTGTCTTCTCTGTCAATCACCGGCATCAGGACTTTGCCTTCACCTCCTCACTGTCATGCAGGCTGAGGGGCTGCTTTCCCACAAGGTCAGAGGCAGGAGGTGCAGGGACTCCTGGGGCTGCTCAGACACCTCTGAGTAGAGACACTGCAGAGAGGGCAGCTCTGAGGGGAACCAGAGACAGAGGGTCAGAGTAACCCCAGTGCTGAAAGAGGATCTGGTTCCCAAGCAGAGGGGAGTGAGAGTGTGTGTGAGTGTGTGTGTGTGTGTGTGTGTGTGTAACAGGAATGAGAGGATACACAACATAAGATGATGGGAAGTCAATTAACATCAAGCCCCAGAATAAATTAATTCAAATTACACACAGAGTAGAGAGTGTCAGAACAACAGTAAATACAGTTCCGCGGAGAAGCAGCTTTGAGCAGGACTGAAAAAGCATCCTCCTCTGAAGAGGAGGAGGTTTAGAAATACCTCAGGTTGGCTTGAGGTGTAAGGAGCTAGGCAGGACCCTCCTCCAGGCCCCGCCTACAATATGGTGGCACCTTCACCCTGACAGCTCCCTCCCCCAAACCCCAATTTTTTCTCCTTTGGAGTCACCATAGAAAACCCACTGGCCTCAGAGTCAGGGAGCACCATGGGCTGCAGCTACTTTCTCTCTAGACCAGAGCAGGAGGGAGCCACACAGGGGGAGGGAGGAGTGTGTGTCCTGCTGGCCTGGTCCAGGGGCAGGATTAGCCCAGGTCACCCCAGTTCCTGAGCTGAGCCTTTGTCCACAGTCCAGGAAGGGAGGGAGAGATGGAGCTGGGTCTCCCTCAGCTCCTGGAGGAAGGTGTAACGTTAGGTGGGTGAACTTAGGTTTCTTTCTCATTCTGGGCTCCCCCATCTCCCCAGGTACCCCTCCATGGGCAGCAGGGAGAGGATCTCAGATAAACCCAGGCTGGATCCCGCACCTCCCTCCCCACTATAGTGTTCAGGATGAATCCCCTTGTATTCATGGCCACACTGGAGGAGAGCACAGAAAGGTAAGTATTATTATTGTATTTGCAAGTGATTAGAAGTAAGATTTTTTACTATAAATGCTCTTTTATTTTTGTTGTTGCTGTAACAGTGCTGTGCAATCAGAAAAAAACCTGGGAGAGGGAGAAAGTGTGGAATTGAGTTTTCATGATGCAAAAAAAAAAAAAAAAAAAAGGAAAAAAAGCCAAAAATGAAAATAAGACAAACATGGATTATTCAGTTTAACCCATGACACCCTGGAAGTTGCCAGATATCATGATCCCAGAGCAATTCATGACTGTGGGGAGTGAGACTCAAAAGCCCAGCCCAGGAAACACAGCAGGGGATGCAGGGCTCTGACCAGCCCAGGGCCCCCCTGCTGTGGCAGCTGCAGTGGGGAAGGGTCTCCGAGCTGAGGAGTCTGGGAACTCAGTGTGGTCACATCCACTGGAAACATCCAGAGTGAGGTTGGGTCATCCTAGTGACAGCTGCCTCACTACCAGCCCAGGTCTTCCTGCTATTGATAAGTCAAATTTAAAAAATTCCTCCCTGGAGGGAAAGTGTCAGGGAAAGGCGGTGGTGTCCATGCAGGCCCTTCCCTCACAGCCTGGCCCAAGGAGAGTCCTGGAGTGTCTCCTCAGGGGCCTCTGCTGCCTCCTCTAGTGAGCAGAGGACTCACGTCACAGGGGAGGGAGACCTGCCCTGCCATGTCTTCCCTCCTGGGGATCATGTGGGGAGTGAGCCCCTGAGCACTTGTGCAGACAGCTCGGGACCCAGCACAGGGAGTGCTTGATCCTGAGGGCTCCTAGGGCCTTTGTGGGAAGGAACTTGAAACATAATTAGGTCTCCCCAGCTTCTCCTGGAGCTCCCAGAGGGACAGGGCTGTGCACACATGGGGGAGCCCCATCCAGAGTCAGGTTCTGTGTCTTAATTGTCTCCCCAAGAGGACATTGCCTGCTCCCTAGAAGCTTCCTGGAGTGCTTGGATATCTAAATAACATTAAAATATTACGAAAATCGAAGCCTCCACCATCCGGGTGGTAGCTCATCCCAAACCTGGCATTTATCCTAAAGACAGGCATCCTAAGACATTCAGGCACCCGAGCTCAGAACGCCCCACCCACTGCCTTCTCAAAACAGGACCATGCCTTGAGAACATCTTACTGACAAGGTAAAGGAAGGCTAAGGCCTAGGGTAAGGCAAAACTTTATTCTTTGCTCCCTCTAAGGAGCCATGTGGAATGGGGGATGGTGAGAACCTGAGGTTTAAGGAAAACCCGGCATTTGGGGATGACCTGACAGTTTGACTTATAAGTTATGGTTTCCAATAGAGAATATTGAACTTAAAAGGGTGTTCATAAGTTTGTTTAATCGCCACTGGGTGGGAAAAACATCCATCGTGATGTTGAAAAACGACGCCTCTGGTGTGTTTCAGTCCCTAAACTGATGTTTGCAGGAAGTTTGCCTTTTCTTTCTTCTGGATTGTAGAATCAAGTGCCAGGTATCAACTTTCATTCCATTTTTTTCCCAGTGGGAAATTTTCTTCAATTCTCAAGTCAGGATCTACTAATATTTGAAGCTGCTGTCACCTGATGATTTTGGAACGGATTTCTCCAACCTTCTTCATTCCAGGACACATTTCAAAATCCTTCATACTTAGAATCTTCACCCTGAAGATTTCCTCTGTGAGGGCTGTGATAACCGACTCTTTGAAATAGAAAGTTGCGGGCCTCCCTGGTGGTGCAGCGGGCGGAGCACTGCGCTGTGAAGCTGTCCGCAGCCTCTGCAGTGTGGGTTCCATTCCCGGCCGCCCAGGGAGAAACCCACATGGCACGGCAGACCTCTCCTGCCTCTCCCGCTGCTCCCCTCAGCAGTGTCTTCTGTCTGTCTGCCTGTTCTTCTCCCTGCTCTGTCTCTGGTGATTTCTTTCACCCTCCCAAGCCTCTGACTATATGCCAGTTCTTATATAAATAAATAAATCTTTAAAAAGAAATAGAAAGTTGCCTATATTTTCCAAAATTCAAATCATAATTCATAAAAGGGGTTCAATCACTTTCCCCACCTCTCAAAAACACTGTCTCAATTCCTTCTCACTGCACGTTCTGGTTAGGAACTGAACCAAACGATATTAAGGACAATTACAAATGAAAGACTTGAAACAGTGGATCAGAGGGAGGGCTAGTGACGGAAAGAAAATTCTGAATAAATGGCATCATTCCTCATAGGGCCCAAATCAGCCTTTGGAACACATCAGTCAATTTAATTCCTCTTGTTATCTCTCATAAGTGATAATTTTGAGGCAATACCAAATGCCTGAGAGTTTAGGACATTTTTTTTCTCTTTTTCTCCAAGTGGGAGTTGGAGTTATGTGATTTCAGCAAGGTTGGAGGATGGTGTGTGAGGATAGCAAGAGGTTCCAGTGGAGCTCAGATTGAAGTCCAGCCCTTGCTACGCAACTAGTGGGCTCTGCTCATGCCTTGACACTGCTTTTGACAAGGTAAAACTTCTATTTACTTCTATAGGGAAGGGTTTGCTTTCTGGCTTCAGGAAAAAAGATTTTTATGTGTAGATGTCTAAAGTGAGAAATCCCACCTTGTCTCATTATTTGTGCTCCCATTTTTACTGTGTTTCTCTAATTATATTATGTAAATATCACACATTCATTGTGAACAACTCAAACCATTTATAAAATATGAAACTTCTGAAATATAAAAATGTAATAAAAAATATCTTGTCATCTTACCATAATAATAAGCATTAATATTTTGGTGACATTTTTGCATGCATCTCTTTACATATCTATGTGTTTTTACATAAACAGCATTTAGCATAAATGATAATTTTCCTGTGGATACCTTTCCACACCCATGTCAGCAGATTTATCCCCATCTCCATTTTCCCCAAGTAACACACATATCTTAGCCAGAAAAAAAAAAATTGAGATTTTGCATGCGAATATTTTATTTGGGTTCATCACCGTGGGAACAGGAAGCATAAAGCAGAGAGTGGAAGAAAAGTTGATACCAGGGAGCTTTACTGACCTGGGTACTGCCATGGGCAACTGGGGTTCAATCTCCCTGACAAATAAGGTGCAACTGGACTAAGCTGGTGGAAGGTTATCCCTGCATGAAACTGCTTACTATGAAACAATCAACTATAGCAGTAAAAAGGTGAACTGAAGGGATAGAAGACATGAGGACTGAGAAATGTCCAATACAGTCTACTCCTTACACCACTCAGATCTTTTCACACGCTCTGTGGAGTCCAGTCAGTCACAGGGTCTTTGATGTGGTGGCCAGTGACAAGCTCTACAAAAGACTCAGTTAATGGACCAAGCCTCCACAGATGCATGTGGTCACAACACCATTATTAATGTGCTTTGTCTCTTTCCCACACAGCCATTCCAGATTCCCCTCTCCCTGGAGCAAACCTACATACTTCATCCCTGTGGAGTTGGAGGCTGAGTCCCTCACCCCCATCAGGACATGGTTTCTGCATGGCCTGTTTGTATTTCAACTTGGCAAGAAGCCCCAAATCTCCAGAGTTTCTACACGTGCTCCTTTCTTACTCCATTGTGCAGCAGCAACCCTAGCTCCTCATAGTAATCAGGGTCAATTATCCAGAAAACGATCACAATAGAGTTCATTGTGGCTCACTGGCTCAAGGAATATAAATGCTTAGGCAGTAGATATAACATCAAATCCAGCAGAACCTTGCTGGTACAAATATGCCTCCCAACCTCCCACCTCACGTCCCTGGGAAGCCTCTAATCTAATAGGGTGAAAGGCATGGGGTGAGATGTATAAATTCCTCCAGTGGATCATTAGGAGTAATGGTGAGAGCGGCTGATACTTCTTTCACCCCTTAGTTCCAGGATCCATACTTTCTCGATATTGGAACATAGATTATATATTGGCCATTACTTCAATGTGTATAACACATGTTGAAATCTGCCTTCCACCATCACAGAGTGTTTTGCCCAAGATAAAATGTTAAAAGTTTTTAATGTCTCTCAATTATGCTGTCAACTTCCAGGTGACATGCTGTATGGTAGAATCAGTGATTCCTGCAGACACGCTGCTAATGTCATACTTATTTCACCATAAAATGTGCCCAGAGGCACATGTTATATATCAGAGGCAATGTTATATAGGCTCTATGCTGGTGAATCAGGCAATCTGTTGGCTCTTGAATGGAGATGCTGGCAGTCAGGGAAGGGAATCTTACATCCAGAATGGATGTCAATTCTTGAGAACAAATCACTCTCCATAACAGGGTAAACTGGGTGAAGAAATCCACCTGTTACCATGTAGCTGTCTGGTCTACTAAGTGATGTTATCACAGCAAGAGCTTGACTGTGATTTCTTTGACTGGAAATCTGGTCATTCATGAGTGACAGTGACTGATGAATCACCCATGATGAGAAGAAACTCATGCCTCTGGACTCAGGTATGATCAAATCACTCTTGATCTCAATTTTTATGACTTTCAGGGACTGTTGAATAAGCCCTGGGGTGACCAACGAGAGAGGCTGAGTGTTATCCACACAAAGGGGACATTATCTGTGGTAGGTGCTCTCTGAGGTGAGAACTAACATGAGACACAAAGGTCTTAAACCCTGTGTCCACTCCCATGGACAAAAACGCCTCATTTCCTAACTTCCTTTGATGTTCATCTTCTCATCTTGCTCCTTCTCAGCACTGAATCATTCAGAAAGTCACAAACCACTGCCAGGAGTCTATTTTATAGCCGTAACGGAGGGAGGTCAACATTGCCACCATTCAAATTAAGTCATCAGGGCACTGCCTGCAGCTCTTGCCACTCCTCACTGTCTCATTGGGCGCTCCTGGGTGAGGCTATTTAATGAAATTGTAGCCCTGGACATCCCATTACATCTCTAATCTTAATATCTTCCTCCTAAAACATATGTTCTTATAAATGGATGTCCTAACATGGACTGATATAGACATTAATAATGATTTCTTGATTATACTTATGTAATGACCTATGGCTGATTTGATAGATATTGCTCATTTGCAAAACCCTACCGATTAACTTAAATTGAGCATCCCCATTTTTTTTCTTTCTTTCTGCAGAGAAGAACTAGAGTGTAGGCTTGAAGCATGGGAATAAGAGGATTCACCGGAGACAGAGTGGGAAGCAGAACAGGTAGATTTACTGAAAGACACTGCTAAGGGGAGCATCTGGTGAGATAGGAGAAGTCTGCTGAGCCCTAGGAGGGTCAGCTCCCTGGCCTGGGCTAGACTCAGGCCTCAGTGGTAACAGCGCTGAGACTTCACCCCTGGGACACCAGGGAGGCCCAACAAACCAAATTTGCATTACACCTACCATGTGTACTACCTCTATTGTGTACTTGGGAAGATCCCAGGTCACCACTTATTTGGTTCCTTCTCTGTAAAACGCCCAGGTAGAATTCAGAACAGAGGCAGCAGACATGTGAAGGAATCAGTGCCTGAGGGGCCTGGGCAGTGAGTGGTTTGACTAAAGGGTTTACACTGGGTTGTAGATCTTCCACAAGGCCACAGTGAGAAGGAGGCCAGCACTATGACAGAACTGGACTCAGAAGGAGTAAAAAAACTTGGGTGATACAAAACAAACTTTATTAGTATTTCCATAATGAACAAGAAACCTTGGAGGAAATAAAACAAAAACCACTTGAAATCAATTAGGCAACAAAGATTTGAACTACAAGAGGAGGGCCAGGTGTCTGTGGGTGCAGGGTTAGTAGAAGTTAAACGAGGACATGTGGCTAGGGAGGTGGGTGAAGAGAGGTTTGGAGTCAGCGGTGCTTAGTCTGCACCAGAGGTCAACAGGCAGGACAGGGGTCAGGGATGGGACCCTGGAGGAATGGCATCAGGTGAGCACCCTCTGCTTGTGCTGCAGGATCCCTGCAGGGGCTGGTTCCCCAGGCAGGGCTGCTGTGGCTTAGCACCCTCACTTGAACCTGCAGGATGCTGGCCAGAAGTGGCTTCCTCCCACAGGCGTGGTTTGAGCTCAGGACGCTCTTGCATAGGCATCATTCTCCTGACCAGGGCCTGGCTGTCCCGCAGGGGCAGAGTGAGCTCAGCACTGTCCCCATAGGGCTCAGTATCCTGGTCATTGTCTGGTTCCTCCCAGAGCACTCCTCTTATCTCAGAATCCTCAAAGAAGTCTTCGGGATCCTGCACCAGTCTTGGCTTCCCCAGAAGGGGTGGGTGTGAACTGCCCACATTGGGCAGCTCCTGAAGCATCCTGGCCTATACCTGTCTCCCACAGTGGGGCTGGTGTAAACACACCACTGCCAGCTGCCCTGCTGGGGCCTGCCTAGGGCCTGGCTCCCTGCAAACAGGTGGTGTTTGCTTGTGCCCAGCAGGTTGTCCCACAGGTTGCAGGTCCTGGCCTGGTTTCCCCAGCAGGGCTGGTATTAGCTCAGCAGCCTGGGGACATCCTGCTGGAATCTGGGGAGTTTCAGGCTGACTATGCAGGGGTTTAGTGAGCTCAGAGTGCCCAGGACGCCTACAGCATCCTGGGCATTGTCTGTCTGACCCAGCAGGCCTGCTGGGCTCTCCTGTTGCTCTGGAACAGCATATGCAGGAGCAGCTTCTCCTGTCCCTTCAGGACCCCTAGTGTCTGCTTGTCTCCAATCAGCAACTTGGCTGGTCTCCTGGCCTGTCCCATGGGCAGCAGGGGAGCCTGGCTGTGCTCCTTGAGAAGGGGCTCAGGATGCAAGAGGACAGGCCATCAGCCACATGCCAGATTGCCACTTGCCTTTGCAAACAGACCACATGCTAGAGCCCTGAGCAGAGACCAGCCCATGATAGGGGGCCCCTGGGATTCTGTTCCCCAAATTCGGCAGCTACAGATGCCAGGTCAGACTGCTCGTGGTCCGAATCTAGCCCCTGTGGTCTCCTCCAAGGGGCACCTGACCCTACCCCGCCCAGTCGGGCCCATGCACCAGACTGTGCCACTTACCCACGGACAGCTCCTCCAGGGGCTTTGTGTACTCCAGCCAGTTCCTTTGGACATGCGCCCCAATCTCAAATTGTGGGTACACTTCAAGCAGGGCTCTGTGCTGGGACAGATCCCACACTGGGCTGTGGGAGGACAGTCGGGGAAATGCACTCTCTGGATCTCTTCACCTTCCTGGACACAGAACACCTTCTGGGAGCAAACAGACACACCTGCTGGGTAGCAACCAGCTGGGGCAAGAGGGAGCAGCCATGACTCTCTGGGTCCCACCACCAGCCAGCATGTAGACATGACCCACCTCCTGGGTGGGCCAGACCCTCCTTCCTTGAGCACGCACATGCTTACTCTCACCGCTCGCACACCCACACTCACAGGGGGAAGGGAGGGGTGGGGGCATCAGAGCCCTGGCGTGGCCTGACCTGTCCCCAGGGCCGCCCTAGTTTCCTCAGGGGCAGTGCTGTTGTTGGCCAGAGACGACGACTCAGGCTCCTCATGCCTTTCAGCAGAGTGCGACACGAGTTTCAGGGAAATTTTTTGGGTCCACTGCAGGGAGACCTGGGCAAACAGCAACAAAACATGGTGCCGGGTCCAGGCCCACCAGGAAAGTGAGCTGGGTCAGGTTTGGTTCAGAACCAACTGCCTGGGGACCAGGGTTCCGAGGTCATGTGTGCCCTGTCATCTCGCGGAGGTGATGTCACTTCCTGGGTCCCCTTCCCTGGACTTCCTGCTCAGACAGATGCCCCCCCATCCCATGGCTGCCTGGGCCACTTCCTGTTCACCCTCCATGCCAGGCCCAGCCCACAACACTGACAGCAGCACAGCCTCCCTGAGCCCTTGGATGGCGAGACATGGTGTGACGTAGCCAGGGCCCCTGCTGGGCACTCTGGTCTCTGGCTGCTGACCTGGCTCATCCTTCCTGCCAGGGAGCAGGCCCTGCAGCATCGGCAACTCCAGGCTCCCATCTCCCATGGGCCCAGAGGAGCTCCAAAGTGTGGAGCCTCTCCCTGGGCGGTCCTGGGGAGTGGGTCACTCCTGTCTACTGCCCTTGGAGGGGAGGCTGGTGTCAGGCTCACAGCACTTGGAGGGTCCCACCTGGGAAAGGGCACCTGCATATGCCTCACCTAGGCCTGGCCAGCCCTGCTGGGGGCAGAGTCATCTCCCACCCGGGGTGCCTGTCCTCCCACCCAGTGTGCCTGTCAGCCCTGCTCCTCTCTGGCCGTGCCCTACAGGGCCTTGGGGGCCCAGTCAAGGTGCCAGGGCCACAGACAGTGCACACCTGCCGGCCACAGATTTCTCAGGGCCCCCTGCCTGCTCACACACCTGCCCACCTGCCTGGAGGTTGTATCAACTTGGGACTGGGTTCTGACTGGGACAAGGCCACCCAAGGCATGGGGTGTCCACTCCAACAGTGACTGATGCCAGGGAGGCCTCTTCTGTCTCCTTCCCTGTCCTCACTGGCTGACTCTCCCTTTCTCTTTCTGTATGTCCCTCTGATGTTCTCTCTCCCCCTCCTGGTCTGTCCTCATCTCACTCTCTATGTGTGTCCCTGTCCCTCTCGGCCTCTCTGTCCCTGCCCCATTCCTCTGTGTCCCTGTCTCAGTCTCTCTCTGATCCCCAGTGTGCAGAGGACCAGAGGGAGGGAGGGAGGAGCACAGGGGACTGAGGTGATGGTGCACGGGTGCCTTGCAGAAGGAAACTCTATGGGGACTACACCTGAGGGGGTGGGGGAAAGCAAATAGTGTTTACAAGTGAAAAGTGAAGTTAAACAATAAAAAAAGAAGAGTATCAAAAAAAAAAATACAGTCATGCCTGCAGGATCCTCCCCCTGTCTTGGCTTCTCCAGCAGTGGGGGTGTGAACTGTCCACACTGGGCAGCTCCTGAAGCATCCTGGCCTATACCTGTCTCCTGCAGTGGGGCTGTTTTGATCCTGTCTCCTGGAGGCAGCATCAAGTTGGGTTTTGATTTTTGGTACAACCAGTCACTCTGTCTTGTTCTTTGGTGAGTTCAGTTCATTTCCATGAAGGGTGATGACATGATGACTTACTACTGCGCTTTTGTCTTTAGTCAAATCCAGCCAAGAAATGTGTGGTATCTGGAGTGGGTGGTGCGGGCTCCAGGGTCACTGCCTCCTTGGTCCCCTGGTCAGTTTGGAGGATGGTGTCGGTCCAGAGGCCCAGACATTAGCCAGGTGGTTGGGGTTCTGAGCTGGGCACTGCCATAACCCCTCAGTCTCCATGTCCTTGTTTCTGAGAGGGTGTGGGGGAGGGGTGTCAGGACAGTATCACTTCCCAGTTCACAGAGTGCTGGGGAGGGATCTCCAGGTCACATGGAGAAAGTCACTGCTGAGGTCATGTAGCCGGCCTTTCATCAGCTCCCTGAGCCACTTCTGTTCCTATGCCCACATCTGGCTTTCAAGAACCAGCTCCCATGTCCCCTTCCTGCTGAGGAAGGAAACTCCCTGGCTCGGCCCTTGGCCCCCTCTGAGGCAGCTACTGCAGCCTTTCTGTCTTCACACACCCCAGGCTGCAGGGCCTCCTGGGTGGGGTCATGTGGTTCTCTGTGACCTTAACGCCTTGTGGAGTATGTTCCTGGGCACCAGCATGCATTGGGTTAGGGTACCCCAAATGTCCACTGCAGGTCTGTGTCAGCAGAGTCGCCTGGGATGTGTTTAGAGAGAAGTTCCCCGGCCCATCCCCAGAGGCAGAGAGTGGGCTCTGGCTGCCCAGGGCTGGGGAGGGGAAGGTAGGGGTGGTGCCCATGGGCCCAGACCCAGTAAACAAGGTTGTTGTGGTGATGGAGATGTTCTCAAGGTAGAGTATGGGATGATTGCTCTGCTCTGCACTTACCAAAAGGACATGACAGGTGAGCCTTCAACAAATGACTCAATGGCCAAAAGTTATATCTCAATAAATTTGCTTTAAAAACATTAAAAAATGGGTCTACAAGTTGGCCTGTGTCTGTTCACCACTGTATCTTCATCGAGGGCTTATGAGAAAACTGCCTTAGCCCTCAAGGAGCTGAGCACGGACAATTTCACTGCACAGATGCTCTCAAGGCGCCTCCTCTGCGTGGTCCTGAGTCATACGATGAGATGCTGACGTCACGCTGCTTCTGTGATGGGAGATACTTTTAGGGGCCTTGAGTGGGAGGCAGCTTATTTTTTCATGTGGGCAGAATGGAAATAATGAGTGTCCAGAAGGTCTACTGTGTTGGTTTTCAATTTTCCACCAGTTCTGTGATACACAGGAGGGGAGACAGTGCCCCCCATGAGTGTGTCTGACTTGTGGGCTCTTCCTCGTGAGGAGAATGAAGCAGAAGGGATGTGCCACGTCACCGAGTCAGGCTCACAGGGGCTGAGACTTCCCGCCCGGGCTCCCCTCCTGGTCCCTCTCTGGGGTGACTCCCTGCACACGGTGGACCCTCAGCTAAGGGGACGCCCACAGGACAAGGACCTGAGGGTTTTCTCCAGGAGCCACATGCAGGAGCTCTGAGGCAGGTCCTTCCACGCTGATCACGGCTGTTCAGAGTCGCCAACATCTCGTCCCCATCGCAGCCTCATGGGACCCAGAGCTGGAGCCTCTGAGTGAGGCCCCTCCTGCCGCCTCCCCCTCAGAGAATGGAGACGCCAGATCTTTGTTTTGGTGCAAAGTAGGAAGTGATTTGGTACAAACCAGTAAAATATTCAGGCGATAAAGTGATCAGTGGCTGTTTTCTCACAAGAAACAGTGGAGGCCAGAGTAGCTCACGAGACCGTCAAGGTCCTGATTGCAATGAGCTGTCAGACAAGGATTCCATGTCCTCTGAAGTGTCCTGCAAAATATGTGATTTTAAAAAATCATTTCTACCGTTTTCAGATTCCCATTTAATTTTGCTGTTTTGTTTCTTTATACTATCCCCAGAGCCGTGTCTGCAGGGTCACGGCACAGAGGGGCTGTCAGCAGCCTGGAGCTGTGAGCAGGGCTGACTCTGACAGGCCTGCAGGGAGTGGGGCCCTGGAGTCCCAGAATCAGCCCCAGGGCTGGCCTTCCAGGGCAGCGCAGGCCTTTCTCCTCTGGATTCCCTGAATCACCTCCTCTTCATTGCAGGAATCTCCCTGCCACTCTAGCATTGGGGAGTTGGGGAGGATGTTGTGGCTCAGGAAATGGGGGCCTCCTCCTAACCATCTGTCCTCTCCTCCTCTCTCTCCTTCATCAGCCTGAGTGTGCGTGTTTGAGTCACACCAGCCCTGCACGGACAGGAAAGGCCCAGAACTTAAGTGATTCCCTGGTCAGTTACAGCACCAGCCCCTCTGCAGTCCCACCAGGGGAGACAGAGACTCTCCCAGCCCCAGCCAGAGCCCCGTCACCCACACAGACCTTCCCCTCACAGTGTCCCCGATGCTGCCCCTTCCTGGTGCCCCCACCACTCCTTTTGGGCCCCATCCCCTAGTCCCCATTTTCATCCTCTGCTCCATTTCCAGGAGCCTCCCCATCTTCCTAGTCATGCCCTGGGGGCTCTCCTCAACCTCCCCTCATTCAGGGATGGAGAATTTTTAAAAGATGTATATTTGTTTATTTATTTCCTTACAGCGTGGGTCATCTTTCTATAGTTATTGTTCCTCTTAGGTGCGGCCCTTCCACCAATGATCCACCACACACCACCACCAGCTCCCCGGGTCTCTCCCCGGCTCTGATCACTCCTGCTCCCCCCTGCTGCAAGACGTGGATGGGTGGTCGGCCCCGGGTCTTGGCGTTTTCCTGGAACCTTGTCCATTTCTTGGGCGAGGACCTGGGCTCCTGGGTAGAATTGAATGTTAATTCCCTCGAAGCAGAAGCAGAAACAAAGTACAGAGACTCTGGAGTCCAAGGATCCATCCGAGACTGAAGGAACCTCTATATTTGGTGATCAGCCCATAATCTGGGAATCAGCTATTATGTCCTGGAAACCTGCTTTTGTCCTTTGTCCATAAGACTAAGAAAATTGGAGGCCTTCTGACCTGACACTGGACTTGGGCGCCCCCTTGTGTGCAGATCCCTGTCCTGCCGCTGGGGGCCCAGGGAGCCTGGGGAGGGCCTGGCTGAGCAGGAGAAAGGGCGGCTCTGGGCTCCTGTGCTCAGCCCTGTGGCCACACGGGGGCGCTGCCGCGCTGCTCCGGATTTGGTGGCGCCGCCAGGACGGGGCGGGGGCTGAGGTGGGCAGAGTTGGGGGTCCTGGAGGGCGGCGTCCTGGGGCTGAGATGCTCTGTGAGGAGTCAGAGCAGCAGGGCTCAGAGGAGAGGAGACTCCGGAGCCTGCCCTGGGTGTGAGGTTTCCAGCTTTTCTCCCAGAACCCCTCTCTCCAGTCCCTGGACGGTGATACCTGGGAAAACTGGAAAAGAAAAAAAATTTCCTTCTATAACCTATTAAATATTGCGAGTATTTTAAAAAATAACATTTAAAGAATACTGTTCGATTTACAGAAAAGTTGCAAAGGCAGTACACGTCTTGTTTATCCCACACCATTTCCATTTTGTTAACATCCTACATGAGTACAGATTTTTTTTTTACCACTAATGCAGCAATGTTGACATAATAACTAAACGCCATACTTTAATTCGTTTTTGCTAATGTCCATTTTATGCCCAATAATCCCATCCAGTTTGCCTGGATGACAGTTTCTCAGACTTTCCTTGTTTCCTTGGGAGAGGTGTTGGGGTCACAGATGGGGGTTCTTGGGTCACCTCTAAGAAAAACTTCACCAGAGTCCTCCTTTCAGTGGGGTGAGGGCACACACACACACACACACACAC